TTTGTGCATTCCGCTAAATCTCACACCTGGGGGTGATGTCATCGCAAAGCAGCCGTACATCGGAGCTTGAATGGAAAAATTGAAAAAATATTGCGTCGGCAATAATCCCTACCACATTGCAATTTTGCAACGCTAATACATATTTTAAATATGTTTAATACATTCAGTATTGCATTGGCCGCTTGTGTGAAAGGTTCATATAAAATGTATCCTACTGAAGGAAGCCTCATGAATTATTACGTTCCGATTCAAGATGCTGATGAAACGTCACCGTGTAAGAAGAAGAAATGTAACGTAAGTAAGTTTTAATTAACTTAAAGAATTTTTATACTTTTTAAATAAACGATCGCATCCGTGTGTTCAACGTATCGGTGTTTGTGCCTTCACGGATACTACCATAGACATAGTATATCTAGACCGAGCGTTTGCCTTTATTTAAGGAGTGGGGGCCGATGACCACGTAGAAAAGGACATACTCTGTTTCGTGCCCCTTGCGTTCTCTCTCGCTCGCACAGAGCATAGCGCTCTCTTTCGTCATGCTACGTGCGAGCGAGAGAGAACGCAAGGGGCACCTTTTATATATTTTGAAAAGGGCATAATCTTGTCATCAATATAAATATTAAATTTGGGAATACAGCAACTCTTTTTCTGACACTGAAATCACTTTCTGCCTTCATAAAACCAAAAAATGTATCGTTTCCTCTTGAAAATCCCCAATTCGAAGAAGGCCGTTCGACTAAATTCAAATTTCTTTGCAAATATTTGAATTTTAATTCATCTGTCTCATGCTCTATATTCTTTGAGTTTTCTTCCATTATACTGAAAAAATACTATGCATTATTCACTTTTACTTAATCAAAAGTTTACTTGTTTACTTCTATTACTTACCTTTCTGTTTTATTGCTTTCGACGAAGATATTTTCCATCTCCCGCTGTCGGAATACGTTATAACAATGCACACAATAAAAGAAACTCTTTTTTAATGCTCTCAGTTTATTTGGCTTTATAATCGCAAATCGGAGCAACAAACATGTGCAGCGATGCAACATGTACAGCTGACCACGACACTGCTTTAGGTTAGCTTTAAATATGGCGTCCATCCATGAGAAACTATTCCCTTCAGCGAACTCCCTCTCAATTAGGGGTCACGAATCAGGGCCATTTTTTCGACTCGCGCGCTATCAAGTTCGATCTCCTTCTCTCTTACTTCATGGCGTCTGGTAACAAAAAGTTACTAGCCACTGAAACGCAGCGAGTGCACATCAATCGAATTCGCCATTGATCTAGTTTCCACCGAAGTCGTCAATCCGATTCTGTTTCGGTGCGCATCGAATTTAACGTACTGTTTCCACTGGAAATAGAATAGAAGCGAGGAAGATTGATATTTCAGTAGAACCAACTTAACTTTTGCTTGTGAATGTAAATAAACATAATCCTTGACAAATTTCTCGTTTATTTTCTATTTTGATAATTAATACGAACAAATGGTAACTGTTACGAACATCAACATATAGACTATATATCGACTATATATTGATGGTTACGAAATAATGAAAAGTAAAGGTTGGCACCATCTGCTTTCAAGCGTTTCTACCGCCTAAATTTCGTGTCAATTCGCTGCCACTTGTAGAGTGACTTGCCGACAAAGCTTGTAGATCGGAGTGGGAGTGAAATGAACGCAGTCAGTCGTATTTCCATCGACTTAAATTTAGTCCTACGCCACACTAGATGCGAATTAATACTTCGGTGGAAACTAGACCATTGATGAACCGACGGTTAAAATTAGCAGGGTGGCCAACAGAAAATAGAGGTGAAGGAAAACCAAGCATTCATATCATTTCAGTTGGAACCCTGCTAATTTTAACCGTCGGTTCATCTAACCGGATTTGGTGAAATTGGCCATTAGACTTCTCTTTGTATATAAATTTCAAAAAACATGGAATATACGTTAGAGGATGCTTTCGAAACGCTAAAAGATAAGAAAATAGAACAAGAAAAAAAAATAGAAGATTTAATAAATAAAATATCAAACAATGAAGTTTTTACTCTGAAACCATCAAGTTCACTCGAGGATGTGAAAATGAAACAAAAGAGATTATGCCAAAGCTTGTTAAAAGAAATTCAACAAGTTGAACCTGAAGATTATCCAATTCTAAGAACATCTGATTTACGTGTAGAAGTAATGACTGAAATGGAAGAAGAGATTCGTAACATGCAAGAGCTCCTCAACAATTTAAAACAGAAGCTTTCTGGTATTCAAGAAGATATCATATAGTAAGTATAACAATACAAATTGTAAGTATAAGAATGCAAAAATTTCATTACTATTTGTGTATTATTATCATATTTATTATAGTTTGAAAAATAAAAAAGATGGGCTTGAGAAAATGCGAGAAGCTTATTTGGATATGGAAGAGACTTTTGCAAATGAGACTTATGAGAAGGAATTTGTTGTAACTAAACGTATATTTCAACAGGTGAAGAATGATTTAGTATGTAAACTTGAGAAACTTATTTTATATATTTTTTATTAGATAAAATTGTGCTTTTGTGCTTTTATATTATATCAGATATAGAACTAAAAATCGATATTTCATTTAGTAAACTCTTTTTACAGTATACTGTGGTTGATACAATTTTTTCTGACAATGATGGCTTTAAGGAATTATTAGCAGTAAGCAATATTATTTTTATAAAATGCAATCTATATTTTTTATAAAATTAGTTAATTGTATGAATGTACAAAATATATTTTAATGATATAATTATAATTATATGAATAATTTTAGGCACTAACATCTGCTTATATGAAAGGGGGAGATGATATTTATGTAAATGTTACACCAGATATTTCATTTTATGTAAATTTTTTAATAGAAAATGACATAGTACAATATCACCGTAATGACAAAACTAAAATTAGAATGACTGAGTTATTATAATACATCCAACAAATATTTAATTGTATGATATATTACAAACTTGTTTTATTGCTGATGCAGCATAATAAATTGTTTTAAAAATGTATTTTTCAAACTGCTATAATAATTTATTTTATATTATATTCATATTTCAATTGCAATTTTGTATCGTTTATCTTATCTGTTACCAAGTGATATAACAATTTTAAACAGAGATATTATATTCGTAAAATCATTGATAAAGTTTCTGATTCATGAATTTAAAATATACGCAATAAATACACGAATGTCATTCAACTTTACCTCTCCAATTTTTATTCTAAACAAATCGAGGTGTAGTCATGTTATGTAGATAGCTTAATAAAAAAATATAGCCAAGTATAGATCACGTAATATACTCGAGATATGAAAATCAACATATTAATTATGTTATTTGAATAAATATTATATGCATTGACACATTTTCTGAAGAGCATTGGAACAGAGTATACTGAAATGCTTCTATCGAAAAAAATAAAAAATCTATTCACAAAATTTATAAGTTGTGAGGAAAAATAGTGGATATACAATATACAATCCTAGTTTACATCGATATACTTTAATACGTACTAAATATTATACCGACCAATCACAACCATTTCATTCTTTAGAGGAATGACTATGACTAGCCAGTCTAGTATTTAATATGTATTAAAGTATATCGGTGTAAACTAGGCCACAGATAGCTGCCTATTATGAGATATAATTAATAGGAAACAAATATAAAATTTTGTTTATGAATGCTTGATAATTAACTTAATATTCTTAACTTAATATTTTCTCTATAATTTTGCTTAATTTTAGAAATCAATATTACAAAATTGATGTAAAAGTAAAACATTCCTCTGTTGTTATAACAGAAATAATGTTTCACATTTTTTAATCATCAATGGTAAATGAGGGAATTTCTACATTGTTTTCATTTTTTTCGCTTTTCTTGTAAACAATACGTCTTATAATATAATATACTATAATTAATTATTATACTATAACTAATATACTATAATAAATTATTATAATTAATTAATAAGAGAGCAGGTATTTTTTACCACAAAAAAGGAGATCTTTCCCTTAATATTCTCACTCCCCAGCGGTGCCATTCGGTTCGAGCGATCCACAACTCCTGTGCTGATTCCAAGCAACTCAAAATTCCTGCTCCTTTCCAGGTCGTCATACCAGGATCCATATCCTTCGGCTGCGTTATAATATCTAGTTGTTCTACAATAACATTTTAAAAAAAGATTTTGTCTTTTAAACAATAGAAGATTTACAACTATCTATTATTAATGGCACGCAAACCAAAAAAAGACTTTGATATATTTTATTCTATAAAATATCATAAGATATTAGTCTATGTATAAGTCTGTATAAAAGACATAGTTGTATAATTTTCTTTTGATGCTACTTACCAGGCCTGTACATGTAAGGTGTCTGAAGGGATATTCGATTGCGAAGCCATGTACCAATACCCTTAAACTTCAAACCCGATCCGACGACTAGCACGCAACTATACATTTTTCTTTTGAAATCTTCATTGGCTATGGAAATAAAATTAATTGTATGCATATTCTCTTTTAGTTATAAACTCATTTTCGGCGAATAGATAATTTTATACTTACAACATCGTTCAATGCTTTGTAATATAGCTTGATCAAGACCCAATAATTGTTGTGGAACCACAAAATCTCGAGGAACCTCTAAATCGCGATTAGACAAACTAGGTGCAGTATCGCCGACCGCGTCGACTACGACTTCGTCTTCGCCCGCAATTGTAGGTACAGTCGCCGTTTCCTCCTGCATTTCTGATGAATGATCTAAAGATTCTTTCATTCCACGTCTCTGAAACAAAAATAAATCTAGTCGAACTTAAATGATACTATTAATATGTATTAAAATAGAAACATGTTCAATTAAACTTGAGAAATATAAAGTGATATTGTTCTCTCAATCTTATTTATAAAATTTTCATATAAATATTAAAAATACATTTTTTAAATGTTTATCTTTGTTTTATATAAAAAATTAATATGTACATATTAATTAACGTTTTTTTCTAAAAATAATACTTTGTAGAAAAATTTTACATAATATTTCAAGCAAATATACTTGTTTGAAAAAAAGACACTTACACTCGTTTCTCTTAAATAATTCTCATCATAAGGATCTTCTGGATCTCCTAATGATCGTTTTTGAACATGAACATTATGAGTTCCAGTAATTCTAAACAACTCAGGTTGAAATAAGCTCAAAGGTGCTATTAAGCATTCATCGCCTACCTATTGCAAATTTCAATACAATTTTATTATATATAAAAAAGGAAAAAAATATTTTCTTTTTTCTTTTTATAAGAGTGAATAAAAAGATACCTGCAAAGTATATTTCTCTGTTTGTTGTTTTGGCTTTCTAACAACAAATGTTTTCTCCTGTGAGCCACATACATTTAAATCCACGTGACAGAAATCTATCTTTAATTGATCCAAGAGCAACGCATCCAATTTGTTGATGGGATCGCATAATTTGTATGGAAACGCGGACTTTTGTAAAAGCCAAAAAAATGTCTGTGTAACATCTGCGCTGCCATAATCCATACGTACTCGCGTATCTTTATGAGAAATTGCGTCTTCCACGCATGACACTGATATTTTCTGCGCTCCAACATCTACCACACATGCATATCCCAAACCTGCACCAAACAGCGCGCCTACATGATCCTATCAATGATAAAACAATAGCAATTATATTTTAATTCCAAATTATTTAAGATATAAAACAGTTGATAATAAAACATTAGAAATATAATAAATTAAAAAATTTATAAAATTTTCTTTTTGTAAGTCTTATATGTAAAAATAAATAGCAAATATATTAGCATTATAAGCAAAAACTAACTTGTAATAGAATACAGCGACCAAAACCAATTTCATCCAATAATAATGTAGTCATTTCCTTCAAATAAGGTCGATGATAGATATCAGGTACAACAAGCACTGCACGATAGTGTTTTAAATCTCTCAAAGGAATATCCAGCTTTTCAGTCAGCACATATTCCCAGATTGTTTTTAAATCTGCCATAATAGCTGTTAAACTGCCGCCTGGACCCATATGTATGTTAAGTTCACCTCTTTTATAAGGAAAATGGATATTAAAATTAGATTCTTCCTCTGGATCTAATGACAAAATATTATCACCAACAATTATGTCACAGTCAGTTTTTGTCCATTTCATGTTGCATGGAGAAGAAATTTCTGGGATGGATCGGCGATTGAAGGCTGCTATTTGCTGTGGTGGAGTTGCATATCTTCGACTTCCATCCGATTGTAAGCAGGATTGTAAAGTATGTGATACTTGCAGTCGAGACTCTTCCATTGCTTGCGTTAACTCCTTCGTCTATAAAAGATAATGTTGATAACAAAATTCTCTTGCCATATAACATGTGTTTATACTTACTAATATTACAGCTGGTGGCAGAAAACTGTCCTTATATTTTATTCCACTTGGTAAACGTCTCCTTGCCACTGCATGTAACAATGTAACAGGCTTCAGGTCAGAAGCACGACCCATACGCAAATACATAGAGCCAGGATGAATAACAATGATAGTTTGTGCTTGGATTTGCTGAATAAACATTGATTATTATGCATATTTGTTAATAAACAAACCAAAAAAGGAAATAATATATATAATTTCGAAAAAATTCACAAATATTTCTCTTTATAAATATTTTTAATAATATATAGATATTATTACTTCTGCTTCCTGATAAACTGGCATTTTCTCGCAATATAATGTTGAAATCGCTTTGTTTGAATTTATTCCTCTTCTTTTATCATTATTTGTTTCTTTTAAGATATATCAGTACAAAGTATAGAATATTTTCTTTCTTCTTTATATATATTTTTATATTTTTCTCTATTTTGGTATTTTATTTCAATTTTCGGAAGCTTTCAAAAATTGTCAACGATATTTCATATCATGCCTTAAACATTGAGTAAAGATTAACAGGAGTGAGCACCTGAGCGCAGGGTTGCCTAAAGCCCGTATCAGACTACGCATTGAAAATTGAAGATTAAAGATTGCAATTTGACTAATCAGAACAAAAAGGACTAAAATTTTTTTATTCTGATTGGTCAAATTTCAATCTTCAATCTTCAATCTCAATCTTCAATGCGTAGTCTGATACGGGCATAAGGTCCAATTTCACCAAGTCCGGTTAGATCATGAAGGAAGAGTAAAGGTGCCATTAAGGTACCTTTACATGGCAGCATTAAGGTGCCATTACATGACAGCATTAAGCGTCGAGCGTCTGCGCAGAATTTAAAAGAGATAGGCCGGTATTCATAGTCCGTTCTTATATCCAAGATCGTCTTAAGTGTGGTCTTGGGTCGTCTTAAGATCCCATTCAACCAATGAAATGGCCGCTGCCATGTAAAGGCACCTCAAGGGTGCCATTAAGCGTCGAACGTCTGCGCAGAAAAATGCGCAGAATTTAAAAGAGATAGATTCTAGGCTGAAATTAGATTCTGCGCAATTTTCTACGCAGACGCTCGACGCTTAACGCTCGACGCTTGACGCAGCCATGTAAAGGCACCTTAATAGGTTCAAACATTGAAATCTGATAATCTTAGATATCTACTATTCTCTAAGAATATTCTTTAACTAAACAGATCGTGTATAGTCATATGATTTACTTCGCTGTTGTTGTACGTTTTGCGCAAGGCACGGCTGCATCTGTTGATTACTTATAATTTTATTAAAACAGACTACAAAAAAATTTGAACAAATACATACACATTTACGTATTTTTTTAATTATTATTTTTTAATATAAAATAAAAATTAATAAATTAAAATTATTCCCGCATTCATATAATATTCATATATAAATAAACAACAACACATTATGTTAATAATATTATTATATGTCAAATATAAAAGAGTCGACTACGAATATCGTCTATATATAATAAATTATTATAAATTAAAGTTAAATAAAATAATAAAGAACATTTATTTAGCGCGTTCGCCGATTTTCGGTCATCTCAGTGCGTCTCTGCAAGGCTTAACAACAATCAGAGCTTTCAATGCCGAGAATATATTGATGGCGGACTTATGTAGTCATCAAGATCTCCATTCGTCTGCCTGCTTTCTCTTCCTAGCTACATCCCGAGCTTTCGGCTTCTATATCGATATGATCTGCCAACTTTATGTCGGAGTGATAATTGTAGCTTTTACGTTCTTCGAAGATTTAGCAGTAGTTGGTAACATCGGTTTAACGATCACACAGATCATGTCGTTGACAAACATGTTGCAGTGGGGAATTAGACAAACGGCTGAACTAGAAAGTCAATTGACTTCAATAGAAAGAATTCTTGAGTATAGCTATTTGGAAGAAGAGCCGATGGTTGACAGCAAGCCCGAAATCAAACTGCCGGACAATTGACCGATAAGGAAAGTTATCTCGATAGTGTAGAAAGAAAAAAGTGGTCACGAAAAATGTTCCGTATGTGGCCAGGTTTGCCAAATGGAATGACTTGGACCAATTCGTCGCCATCTTGAATATTCGTACATATATAGTGTTATGTTTAGTTGTATTAGTGATCAGTAAGTGTGTTGGATGACACCATAGACATAGTATATCTAGACCGAGCGTTTGCCTTTATTTAAGGAGTGGGGGCCGATGCCCACGTAGAAAAGGACATACTCTGTTTCGTGCCCCTTGCGTTCTCTCTCGCTCGCACAGAGCATAGCGCTCTCTTTCGTCATGCTACGTGCGAGCGAGAGAGAACGCAAGAGGCACGAAACAGAGTATGTCCTTTTCTACGTGGGCATCGGCCCCCAATCCTCAACACTCGGTCTAGATATACTATGGCCGGTATTCATAGTCCGTTCTTATATCCAAGATCGTCTTAAGTGTGGTCTTGGGTCGTCTTAAGATCCCATTCAACCAATGAAATGGCCGCATAGTATCTTAAGATCGTACTTAAGACGATCTTGAATATAAGAACGGACTATGAATACCGGCCT